TGTTAGTCAGCTGTTCGGGATTTACCCACAGTTTCATTCGCCCAGTGAGACAAGCGGGAAGTGGACGGGACAGCACTTTACTGGCTGGGGAGCTACTCGGCTTGTTCGGGTGGTAGCTGTTCAATGCAGTGTGAAAACCTCTACCACCGTCGAGAGGAAGCCCCAGGTACGCTGCTTCTAAGTCCATCTAGTTTGTTTTTTAACCGACTAACTGCTCTTAACCGTGTTTATTTGCTGCAGTGACCTCTCCAGGGGCGAGAGTGGATAGTCAAAGGAAGCCATTAGGAGCCTAAACAGTTGAACTTGTGAGACTGAGCTTCTTCATGTCTCTAACCATTGACCTTTTAGGCATGACTGAATATGCGGCTATATCGTTCTCAGGGTCATGGAGACACAAGCCATCACACCGCGTCGAGGTGCAGTCTCGTCCTGATGGAAACTGGCTCAATAGAATCGGACGACAGCAGAGCTGCCTACCACCAAAGTTGGGTGGCGGCGGCGGGGCTCGAACCTGGGACCATAGGGTCCAAACCACACCGGTGACAGCGACTAAACCACTGCGCCACCACCACGAAGCTCGGGCAGCGATGATCACGTGCGTCACTAATATTGGTTCAGACCAGAAGAACAAAACCAGCCGGTAGATGCAATTCCGATGACAAACTTCAAATCTACCGAAATCCAGCTGACTGTTCCGAAGGATGGATACCGATGAATTAATTAAAGGTGGTCGTCAGTAATTAGTTACAGGATTCCAAATGTCATAGACCACAGAATAACCTAGAGCAAATGCACTGAAAAGCTTTATTTGGATTTCTATACAAAGTCTGAGGAATTTGATCACGAAAAACTTGATGACATAGGTTGCTTTCGCTTGCGCATTCAATGACGACACTATGCTTAAATTAAACATACATGTTCGCCAAAATTCGTTATCACAGGCGCTAAAGTCACTTTGTCTATCTAATCTGTGATATACATTACCTACCCTGGCGTGATAAACAGCCGAAGACGTAAACCAGGCAGTCAAGAAGACCTGCGGTTCAGTTATGCTAATCTTTGGGATTTTCACTGAAGAAGCATAGAAGAATCGGGGAGGATAGGAATAGTCGGTTGGGTGGTGGTTACAGTATTCGAATCCATTTCTTGGCAAAAGGGTATCATGGACTGAGGTGGTTAAATGAAGATACAGAAAGCCTTTAATCCGAGGTAGCTGCACGACTAACAAAAATTTTCTTTGATGAAAACAGTCCCGTATGATAGCTGATAATCGTGAGCGAGGACTCAGTAGGTGCTATGCAAGGTGAACGCTTCACTGGGCCAACTCTCGATTATACTGCAGTTAAAAAAAACAGTTTATCTTGGTGTGAGATTTCCGCGTGAATAAAGTGCCGCCATGGCGATTATGCATCCGAATATAACGGGATACACCTTTCCGGTGGTGTGGACAAACATAAATATGTCACCCAAAGCTGCTCTCCATGGGATTAATAGTTGGGTTGTATGATAAATTTTACCATGTGCAGAAAAAAGAAAACATGAACTGACAGCTAAGACGTAGTGGACAGTTGTTTCGACTTTCTCGAGTTACGGCAGTGTGCGAATCTGTCAAGCCAACTGAGGACAAGTGAAACTGCGACCTCACCGACTGGACGCGAACATACTGTACCATCAGAGAGCCGATCACATTTAAAGCAACAGAGGCAAAAACGACTAAAAGCGACTTCAGACAACTTATTCGCGATTGGCTGAATATGTCACAGGATGTAGCAAATGGCCCGTGAAAAATAAAACGATTCAAGTGACCTAAATGGAACGTAATCATACTGGAAACCAGATAAATCTATATATCCATTCGGCGGATAATAGCTGACACTACCAGAAAGTGATTGATGGAATATACATTGGTGCTTTAGTGAATGATGGAAATGACAAAATGCTTTAGGAAAATCAAGAAACACATCAGCAGGATTACAGAGGGTATTCAAAAGTTCCTTTTTATTGGTATGAACTGTCCAACCTTCCGAATGCATGGTCACGCGCAGTCCCCAGTTCGTCGTATAGTTAAATGGGAAAAGATGAACAATCAATGAATGCGTAGAAGCATAGACCTTATCAAATACCGTATTTTAGGCAATCGCCACGAGGATCAGCATACAGAGCGTTCGCCAAAGTAAAGGTAAAAATCGAAACCCGCGAAAAAATCCCAGTTTTCTGATCAATAACCTTCAAGAGGATAACAAACACATGGAGGTGACGTCTATCCTGTTGAGTACTTCATTGGTTCGTCAACACAAGGTTACCGATTATCATAAGTAACCAGAAGCCTATCAAGGCTATGAGGTTTACACCTTCTGCTGTTATTCACACCACGGTATGCAGTAGAAAAAGCGGTTACATTTTTGGTGTGCATTAAACGACTCATTATGGAACTCATAAAAGTATCTTGTTTCCTCAGGGGATGCTTATGAGAGTAAGTGCAAGCAAAGCTCGATGGTCTCAATTCGCACTCACTTTGGTCAAAACGAATAGAGCAGTATTTTTCGCGATAGAGATCATCACTCCAAAACATTTTCCCCGGTGAACGATACCCCCGCCCGGTAGATTTCAATGCCGAATGGAGCCTGGTCGTGTGATGCACGATTGACGCGAGCAGGCACCACAGATGTGCAAAGCTTTCGGGATTGACAGAAAACTGGGCAGGATGCTCCGTCTTTAGGCGCAGCTCAGACGAGGACAAAATTGCGTATTCCGGATGCGAGGACCTGATATTATATAAGGGAATGGAAGAGGGATGATATGAGATAGATTACGGTACTACATGTGTGTGTCAGTTACAGCAAAATGGGTTCTATGGAACAAGTCCCCAGTTATCGCATATACAGTCAATCCCTTACTATGTCACATCCCTGGGGATTTGAGAAAGTGAGTAAATCACATAAACTGCATCATAGCTTGTTGATCACTAGTGTATACTTTCAAGTAGTATGAAAAATCCATCAGGATATTTGTATTGATTGATTTGAAATGACTATCCTTTGAAATTTACCTTCGCACACAACCCTAAGTTCATTGATTCAACCATATATCCGGAAGCACACTTGAGTTTCGCTCTTATGACAGCTCCGCAGTAGTGCATATCCATCGTCCCGTCAGGATTTTGAACTCCGGATCCATCGCATGGAAAGTGTGTGCGTTACCACTGTGCCGACCAGCTCATACCATGGCTGAACCAATTTGCCAATTCACAGTGAAGGTGAAGTTCGAAGGATAGTCAGTTCAAATCAATCAATAACAATGATCCCACACCATTACTCAAAAGTAACTGTGAGTTAAATGCGAACAGGATATTTGTGACAAAATGAAGCTGGTTATTGTTCCTTTGGGGAAGTTTTCTAATTCAATTACGGAATTTCAATTCTAAATACTGTTCCATTCAGTTGCACTGTAAGGGTGACCACCGAATTGAATACATGGGGTCCAGCATGATCTAAAATGGTTTTGGTGGAAAATTACGTCACAAAATTAGGACACAGTTGACGATTCAGACTAGGTCGTACGTACGTAATTTAATGCTTAATTCGTTGGCGAAACCATATTCGAAAGAAAACACGTTATCGAAAACAGTTTAATCATCTGTTACTGGGTAAGACATTGACTCTAAGCTCCCATTGTTCGCTATGCGATCTTTTCGTGCTTTTTTCTGATGAAAAAATGTGCACCACAGTGAGTGTAACCATCCATTCGTTCGTTTATCCATTTTGTTGTTGCCGTTGTATAGTGAAACTGATCGATAGTTTTGTTGATCGGTATCAATGCTATTGTAATTAGTCATGACCTCATGACCTGAACAGGTGATTCACGAAGAAGTGTATCGCTCGAACACAGGGGGGGGGCATTATGATGGCCTTTGACCGTTAATCCGTCCAATTACGTCAGTGATTATCTTTCAAGCGTTTTTATAGGCATGTCAGTGAGATGGCTGTTGTCCATGGATTGGAGACCTAACGTCTTACTCAACATCCTACCTACCAGCTAAGATAGTCTGTTTGCACAACTATGTTAGTGCAACACGGATCATGGATCAACGAAATTTTGGTGCCATCAGCAAAACTACTCTCACGGTTCGGTTAGTCCTAAGATTGCGCGTTTGGGGCAGCGACGAAATAGACTTCTGTCATTTCGAAATAAAAATACAAATTCATATGAGAAAGTTTGGTACCAAAGATACCAGATGTGTGAAAGATATTGAGAGGACCAATCGCATGTGTATGCATATGAACCAATCCGAAACTTACCATAGTTCGGGATAGTGAAGTGTCCAAGAAAAACCATAGGCGTTGGAGAGTACAGCTAGAGGAGAATAATGAAGCGATCGACTCGTTCGATTACTGGAAGTATATTTGTCCCGCAAGAGGGCTAGTTGCACGGACACACGGTTAAAGTGGAGTTGGAAACGGGTGAAAGCAAACGATAGGTAGTGAGACAAAGGGACAAGGTGATCAACATCAGCATCGTCACCGGATCTCAATTGCCAACAATCGGCAGAGACAAGATAATCTGCCATATCGTAGAGAGTATCCCGAGAAACTGACCACAGACGCATGGAGTGGCCGATATCCAGAGGATACATGGGAGTTCTGAGTAACCACTGTACAGAATGAGCGTCGAGGCTGATATGCTGTAATGAATTCTGATGGGAAAACACAAGATGAAATGCACGATTATGATAAGGAAACTTGATATGACAAACACAGTTCAGAAAACAAGTGACAATCTGGTGGTATCTCGAACGGAGAAACAGGCTATTACTAAATTCATAATAGTGAACTGGTCACAAATCCAAAGACAAACAATGAACAAAGGATGAATAAAGCCCACATGGAAAAAGGTCACCCAGTACATATCGGTTTTGAACTTCTTCAATAATATCTGCAATCGACAAAAAATCAGGTAGTAATCACCCAGATACCTCCAAATGCCTCAGTATCGTCGGGGGTAGGTGTCTTTGGTTGTGGTTGGTCACCTTTTCCTTGCACCCCGCGAAACGCTCGTATACGACCAGCCGTCTCAAATAGCCACTGCTGAGGAGGCCCTACTCACTACCTTCTCGTGGAGGTGTTTTCCCACCAAAGTGAGAGGACGAATAGCCGACATCCGGGTTGGTGGATCACTGGTAGTTCACTTAGGGGAGGTGGTTAAAAACCTTGATCCCAAATCAATCAGAAGGAGGCATGCGAACAAGACCCACCCACATCTTCCTGGTTGTTACAGTGTTCACCAGCTCAATTGGACATCAATCAAATCACGTCATAAATCACTTTATTCATTCTAATGGATGGATTCTCAGCTTCGAGGTGTATTGGGCAACATGGACATTTAACACAGTTCAAAAGGCGTACGATCCGATGAACTGGACACAGGCTCTCAATGGATTGCGATTTTCACATACAGCCCCGCTGTCTTGTCAGTTAGGCTTTGGCTAGCCGAAAGCTCCAATTGAACTGCTCAAGAAAATTCACCTGCCTTGGACTGGGAAGTCTGACAGTACTCCGCCAGTGGATGAATTTTCAAACCACTACAGTGCAGCCGTTTAATCCGAGTCAATTAGTGACAGAGACGGAGAATTAGGTATGTCTCTAGTATGCCTGTCTCCACACTAGGGTAAAGTGATTAACGGAAAAGAAACCGCCTAATCTTCCCGCTTACATAGGTTGACAAAACATGAGCAACAGATAAATAGGTTCACATGGCGGAAGCGTAGATTGATAGGTTATGAGTTAAGAGTTCTACAAAAGCATGAACTGGCTGGTGAATTTGGCACACAAACAGGCAGCGAGAAATATCTTATCTGGGCATCTCGTTAATACATCACCCTCGTATTCTTCTTTGAAAGGCAGGCGTAACATTCGGCAGAATGTGGGCACTGATGGTTCTGTATCTTTTTCGAATAAATTATTTTGAATGCGCTTCTGGGGAGCAACATTATCCAACAATGTCTGTCATCAAGGATTCAGTTATTGCTGCAGGTCTTCCATAGTGTACATGTTTCTAATGCGTTAGAAAGGAATCGGAAGACGTATGAAGCTGGTGTACTGAGTGAACCGAAACATCAACGTTGGTTTCCTCTAGGGTGATCGGCGCAAAATCAAGTCACAGTGTTTCTTAAGATTGATATCTAGAAAAAGGTAAGTGCTCGCCTTGTTCACTTCTCAAGTGAATTTGAACGAATCAAACAATTTTCACCTGCAATGGCAAAAGCTGTACTAATAACGTTATTGCAAATAACTCGTGTTTGAAATACCGGATCCATTTTATCTTATTTATCACATTTGAAAGAAGAAATAGCACGTGTTACCATTTTGTCTGATCTCCCAAACCTCTAACGTAACAC